AGCTCACAAAATGGACACTCAGATCATTATATCCAAAAGAAACCCACCAATTGCTCAACAGAGAAAAACAGTAATCTGAAGTACAGAGTAAACTCCTAGGGATTGAAAATGTTATGGGCCCAGATATGGCGTGAATTTAAAGTGCATTACCAATTCTACATACTCCACCTTGTAGATACTCTTACTGTGCAGTAAGAATTCCTTTTCTTCATTTACTTCTGGAACAGATCATGCCCACAGACCCTTACAATCAATACAGCCATGTCAGTGGCCAGAGTACTGTTCCTACAAATGAAAGGTTAGTGACTGCTTAGGCTTACAGAGAATTTCAGGTGAGGGAAACATCTTTCCTGAACTACTGAAGTTTGGGCAGCTCGTGATACTCATTTCATTGCTGTGAAGGTCCAGATGAATGCTTCAGAGCCACTCACTTTCCCATCAGCCAGGGTGAAGCCCAGGCTTTTCTGCAGCCTGTGACAAAACCAATAAGCCCAGATTTTGCCTCCATGTCTCCGGAGTTTATAAGCACAGAGCAGCATTAAGTGCTGCACAGCTGGGGGCAGAGAGAGAAAAAAAAGCCTTGCTGGTTTTATATCTTAGATAAGCAACTGTATTTACTAAAATAATCTCATTCCCAAGCAAATAGATTTGATTCTATAGAAATGTGCATCTTATCTGGGGCAAATATTTGAACATGCTCTTTGAATGGTGCTTCTTAGTGATTTTTCAATAATAATCAAATGTTTCATTGTTTCAGTTAAAGCTTGGTCTTTCATTTAAGGACTTACTGTCCAACTGTAAAGTGACTGATTGCCAGCAATTATAAAGCCAGATTATTTCCGTCTTCTTTTCAGCCTAAAGAAAATTAGTGTATGGTTTTGTTATTTAAGGGGGTCAATGTGTTTCATTATGTGCTCACAGAGAACAGCTCAGTGATATTCCAGCAATCAGTTATACAGTCTATTTTTATTATCAGCACAAGAAAGCAAATACTGCACAGCTCATCAGGCTGTGTAAATGAAATGCAATAATGAAGTTCTCAAGCAAGCAGAATCCAGCATGCCCAGGTTAGTCCCTTTTTGCACTGAGTGCATGAAGTATTGCAGGAACTGCTCTCTGTATAAACACATCTCTGTTTTATCATACATAATTCAAGACTTCCAATTCCCTGATGGAATAGACTATCTAACTCCACACACTGAGGTACAGTCTGCAACCCTGCACCAGTATTGTACCACTGTAGTACCCTGCTACCCTGCATTACTGATACAACTCTGCCTCTTGCAATGACGTATATGCCCTCAATAAGCTTTTTCCTAATACTTTTAAAATGACTATAGCATCCTTCCTGCCAAGACTTAGATATATTCTACATACAATAATTCAGAGTTCATAGAACAACACTATGGATAAACAAACTGTCAAGCATCATTCACAGGTGCACAGGGCTTCATATAGCAAGCCTGTTCCACAGCTCCAGCCTTGCTCCTCTTGAAATCATTGGGAAGTCTGTGGGGACCTCTTTGAGAACAGGTTTCAAAAGACAAGCATTTCTGTAATAATCTTCTATGTCCTGGAAGTCACCTCAACCCTGGCATTGCAGAGCCCAGCCATGGTCTGTTCGTATGCAATCACCATTCTCACGATGGGATTGCAGGCTGTATAAATCAGTGCAGAATTGAGTCCGGAGGCTTGAGCTGCCATGAACATCTTAAAAGAAGATTACCCCCATGTAATAATGCACAATCCTTTGCCAATCCCTAAAGAAGAGCGGGGGGGGGGGGGAGGGTTTGGAAGGGAAGGGAAGGGAAATCAGTTTTCTCAGCCAGCTCAATCTTGGTTTTCCTGGACACCAACCCTAACCCAGGGATCCAGAATCTGTGCAGCTCTGAGCCTGGCATACTCAAGCCTCCTGGGACACAGGTCCACCCGTGGCTGGTGGTCCTACCATAGACACACAGTCCTGAGCCGAGTGGTTGAGTGAAGGGAGATCAATCTTCAAAGCCAGAAGATGGCTTCTGCATCTTCACAGGCAATTGCCTTTGCAGAGTAACAGAATGCTCTGTCTGCAACCTCTGGTTTGGCTCTGCTAAACCAGACCTATCATCTGGCTGCAGCATGTTAGCACAGAGGGAAGAGCTGGGCATGTGAACCTTGTGCATGGTTCACATGCTCAGCTCCTGAGCAAGGGAGATGGGGACTGGCCTGGCTGGAGATGCCAGCCTGCATAGCCTCATGCAAGACATTGAAGGCTTCACCACCCATCTTTGTCCTCACCATTTGCAAAAACACCGCTCTTCAAGACCAGGCAAGACTCAGCTAATCTCCAGCTAGTGCCCCATGTCCCTTGGGAACGCAGTCCAATGTCTTGTAAATCAATCCATACACAGTTTAACAGATGGGCTGGAACAGCCAGGAGGCAAGACAGTGAGCATCAAAGACTGAGATGAAAATCAGAGTTGGGTGGGATTACAGAGATGACTGCTCTTTTGAGGCTGGCTTCTTACTCAAGGGATGTAATTTGACCATCCACCTTGGAGTTGAATTGTCTTCAGACAATAACCTCCTGTACCAAGATTGCTTTAGGTGATCTGAATTGGGATCAGCACTGGAAAGAGATTGTGCTGGGAGGGCAAGAGGAAGACACATAATAAAATCACAGAGAACAATACATGAAGAGGGAAAGGGGAGCAGGGATCGTGTTACCATGATCCCGTAGCAGGGGAGAGCAGGATACCTAAAGAAACTGACGGATGAACTGCAAGGGACAGATATACACACTCATTGCTGAGATGTAGAGGTGTGGAAGTGAGGGACTGCAACAATAAGGCAATGTGTTTATAAGAATCAAATATAAATACAGTTATGAATGCCTGCATAAGTACAGTTAACTGTGCCACTGCCCTCCAAGAGCCAGGTCCCCATAGCACTGAAGCTCAAATCCAGCCAAATTACTGGGCAGCCTGCTTGAACAACCCCAGCAGTAGATGATCCCACCGTTCACTCCTGTTTGTCCTGAAGGGTTAGGTCCTGGCAGTGTCAGGATTCCAAAACAGGATCCCTGGGTACTTTCACCAGAGGAATCATACAGCAGCCAGCTTTAGAAACTCCTTGTGACTAGTCCTCAACTTTGCCTAATCACTCCTGGACATATGTAACATCAGTAAAGCCCTCTCTGCCTCCAAAGTCCCCTGCTTGCCTTTAACCTCTACAGAGCTGGCCTCCTTACAGACCAAAGTTTGTAGCCGTTGCCTTGAGGTTCAGCTTTTGTCTTTGACCCATGACTGATGGCCACATTTTTTGCCCATCACAAGCAGCAGTGCCCACTGCTCTTTGCTCTTTCTGTGTTTGAGCTGTTTTTAGCAGGCTTTTCTCAGGTAAAGAGTGAGTTTCAGGCAGTCAGAGAAAAGGGGTTGTGCAACCTGAATCACACCTGACTCCCGAAGGTGACTCCCAAACTTGTCCAGGACTAAGAAGTGTGGCTACTGGATCTGTGAACAACTGTGCTCAACTCCTGGCACGCACAGCCTCATCTCTGCCTGCAGAGCTGGCAGCAAGCTCATCCTGCGCAGCCCCAAAGGGCTGAGCCAGGTGCCAGCTCTGCAGGCAGAGAAGGAGGCTGTGTCCATCGCTGCTGGAGTCACACAGGAGAAAGAGTACGCCTGGGCTACCTCTCCCCTTTGGTGACCTGCCAACTCCAGCTCTTCCTGCGCTTCTGGACCACCTTCATCCTTCACAGAGCCCCAGCTTCACAGGGAGGGCTGTGCACCATCACTCACAGGGCTGGAGTCCATCCTTCTAAAGCTGACACTGATCATGACCATCTGAAAGGGTCAGCCCCCATGCATGCCACACACAGCAATTCAAGGCAACAGCATTTTGGATGGCCTTCCACCCCGTTTCGCTTCTTTCTCTAATGTGCCGCAGGCAGTGCCCTGCATGAGGGTGCTGACAGTCCTGCCCTCCAGAACAAGCCACATCCGAAGGGAGCAAAACGCAGGTGAAGGCAGAAGCAAGACCCGCTGTCCCGAGGACCACAGCTGCCCTCTTCATAGTGCCCTTACCCTGTAGGGATCGGGCCCCTGAGCACGCCGGTGCGGCCATGGCCCCTATCAGCACAGCCTTAGCCTGCTTCCACTGAAACAGGGAAGGAAAACCGGGTCCCCCAAGTGCACATCTCCCTCCCCCCAGCCTCCACACTCCCCTTGCGGCTCGGCGGTGGATGCACACAGGGCTTTAACTTTCCGCTCCAGACCGAGGGCTTGCTGTCACCCTATCGCCTCCTCACCCACCGTCCCCTGCGGGCACCCGGCCACCATATGCTCTCTTCGGGCCGCGGACGGCGACCCCTTGCCTCCCAGCGGGGCCTGCTAGGCCGCCCGCCGCGGGGCACCCCAGGGAAGGGAGCGGCGGGGCCTGCGGTGGGCGGTTGCCGGCAAGGGGGAGGCGGAGCGGGCGCCACCGGGGCCGAGGCGGGCGGGGAGGCAGGAAGGGAGGAGAGAGCGGTGGGAGGGCGGGGAGAAGTTTATTCCCGGAGACACCTCTTTAGGGTGCGGTGGGGGTGCCGCCCCGAGCCGGCCGCTGCTCGGGTGCGGGGCTGGGACATGCGCCTCGGCGCAGCTGCCGCCCGGGGTTAGTTACAGTGGGGAGACGGCTGCGAGTCCCCACCCAGCCGAGCGCGGCGACCGGAGTAACTAGTGCCTGCGGCGTGCGGACCGAGCGCGGCCGCCTGTCTGCCTCCTTCCCTTCCCGTCTCCCCAGTGCGTGAGGAGCGATAACAATGGTGGGGCGCAGCCGCCGAGCCCCCTCCTTCGCCTAGTGGAAGCGGGTGCCCCGCGGCAGCGCCGCCCCACCCTGTGGCGGCCCCGGGCCGTGGACCGCGTTGCTGCCGGCGGCGGTGCCTGGAGGCGATGGTGCCCGCGCCGGGGTTAGCCTGATCGCCGCCTCCCTGCCTCACCGCCTCCCGTGCCGGCGGCGCTCCCGAGGGGCCAGGCCCCACCCCCCCGGCGCCGCGCTCGCTCGGGCTTGTGGCCATCTCATACAACTTGGGAGCCCCTCCAGAACAGCATTAGTAATTCATAATAATAATTTAAAACAAGGAGAAGAAGGGGAAGAAGCAAGTGGATAATGTCAACCCCGAGCAGATTCAAAAAGGACAAAGAGATTATAGCGGAGTATGAAAGTCAAGTGAAAGGTAAGCGCGGGGAGGGGGGACCCCTCCCGGGTGCGGGGCGGAGGTGGGGAGAGCCCCCGCGGCGGGACGGGCACCCCGCCGGTTCCCTTGCCCGGGCTGGGGGCTGCGGCCAGCCGATCGCTATCGCCGGCCGGGTGGTCGGTCCCTGTAGCCTGAACTTCGGGGCGGTGCCGGTTTGTGCGAGGGGCCGGGACCGGGCGGCAGCTCGGCGGTGTCCCGGCGGAGCGCCTTCCCTTCCTCTGCCGACTTCGGAGACACGAGGGAGGGGGATGAAAAATGGAACTGAAAAGGGCTTGGCAGTTAAACTGAGTCGAGAGACAATAGTGAGCCATGCTCCTTTCTTAAAGCACATGGCTGTGCCCCCCACCCTCCCCTCAGGGTTGTAGTTTCTGTGTTGGGCTGTAGAAGACGGCTAATAAAGAATTACCCTTGACTATTGAATGAGCCCTTTCAGCCATCCCAGGAAGTATTTCAGCCTCGCATCGCCCGGTTGTATTGCATCCAACTATTGTGCCAAGGGCAGCGCCGGCATACTCTGGATTGAGCCACCAGCGCTTCCAGACCCTCGAGTTTCCTCTCGTTGCCTAGCGTTTTCCCCTCTGCCAGCGTCTTGGGTGGAACAGAGGATGGGAAAGTAACGGCATGGGCGGTGGGGTGTGGGTCTACTGGTGCACATCCTTTTCTTCTGGGTGCTGTCGGGGAATATATTGCATAATACACTGCTATAAACACAAGCTTTGAGATGGATGCGAACCTGAAATGCAGCATTTAAAAAGCTTTGCGATGCCTGAACTCTGTCAAAATGGTGTGGGTGTGGACACACATTTGTCTTTATATACGTGGGGTGGACCTTCCTTGATGCTGCCCGCAGTCTGCGATGTGCAGGAGTGTGTCCCCATGCCCCGTGGGCTCCAGGGGTCCTCCTGTCCCATGCAGGCAAGGTCTGGGGACCTTCAGACTGAGGTGTCTGAAACAGGGTGGGAGGACTGTAATTGCACGGTAATTTTCCTCTTGATCCTGCAAGATCAAGTTTTCAAGACAATTCTTGGAGTTTCGTTGCATTTTTATTTACCCTTGAAAGAGGTAGTTTTTGAGTTGTCTTCTTTCTAAGCATAACTTATTTTGTGAAAAATACAGCTCACCAATGAAAGTCTTTCTGGGTCCAGGAAGGGATTTAGGCTTAAAATGAAAGACCTGCCCGGTAGGTGGGCAGTGAGGGATGTTTTCTGAGCTAGCAGGTAGGCCATGCTTTAAGTGTCTGTTTGACATGGGCAGGGCTGAGCCAGTTCTCACGTAGCTGGTGGATTCACTGCCATCGAGCCCTTGGAGGATTGGTGCTTCTGCCTCTCTGTGGAGATGGTGCAGATTTGTCTTGATCACTGAGCAGAAAAACTGTTCGAGATCTTAAGCTCTCTGCAGAGTGTGCACGCTGTTCTTTACTTCCTCCTAACACGATTGTTAGTCTCAGCCTTTAAGTACAGCCGGTTGCTATGTAAGCTGATCTTTCGAGTAATGAAGGAAAAATGCCATGCCCTTCAGCTACGTATATTGGATCATTTCACAAACAACAAAGATTAAGGTAGAAAGCACCTCTGATAACTCAGCTCTCCTTTAGTGTAATGGTCTGCCATCATAATTGCAGAGGGAAGTGGCATTTGTAAACATGGCTTAGTAGCAATTTTGACTTGCTTTGCTCCTTTGTGGTGGTCTGGGGTGCGTACAGTCTGGTTTCAACTGTCTTGCCTGAATTGTTGATCAGCAGCTGTTTGGAAAAGTATGCTGGGCTGGAAATTGTAGCCAGAGATACATTTGCTTTAACCAGGATGACTACAATTGTATTTCTGGTGGCAAGAGCTGCCTGTGCTAAGATATAATTCTGCTTGGTGATAGCTCAGTGGTACTGTAACGGTACCAATACCATCGTGTGGTACCTTGAAAAATCTTTGATACTGGGGGGGTCAAGGGCTAAGAAAGCAGTCCTGATTAGCCAGCAAGGTAACTCCAAGGCAATGCAGGAAAAGTAGGTCCCTATATACTACTTAACATTTCATACATTAGGATAGGAGAAAGGGTGTGGCCAAAAAGCTTTTGCTGCTTATGATTTCTGGTGTTTGCAATGGCTAGCTCATTTCTGACTGCTGAGAGTTCAGTAACCTGAAGGATGTGAACAGTTTGGCTCCAAACTGGCCATTTGAGGTCCTCTGGACAGGTGCATGCAAATGATGTTAATATCACATATATCCTTTACCTTATTATGAAATTGCATTGAGCCCAGTATTCGAGAGCTCAGCATTCTGAACACCAGCGTTAGCAATTCAGTAACCATACCACTGGTGTTCGCATGTGTAAATCCTGTTGTAAGATGTCTGAATATTGATACTGGAGAAAGAGGGGCCTCTAATTTACATGTCCTGTGCGGTATGCATGTGGTGCCATATTTGGAAATGAGGATTTAACATTGCCATTCTTCACATAGCTTTTCTGCTCTTAAGTCCTCAAATAGGAAGCAGTAACAGATGTTAATTGTTCTACCCAGTTCCTGGGTGGTGTAAACTGACATCTTCTCCTTGAACTTTTTGCAGTATCAGTAGATTGGCTGTGCCATTAGTGGAGCTCATACAGAAACAGTAGAAAGGCTGCAGATGTCACCTGTTTGTCAAGCTGAAGTGGACAAGGTACTTCTGACTTGCTGGATAGAACATCTTATTGCACATGTTTTTTGCAACATCAGTTTTGTTCAGACTAACTTCTGTAGAGAACTATCCCAGTTGTAACGGAAAGGAACAGCATAGAGAAAGCAGAGGGGTATATCTTAAGGATGTCTAAATGCAGAAGTTAGATCTGAGTGGGGGATTACCTATACCCATTGTTTTGGGTGATGCAACTATATTATGATAGGTACCTTAATTTATAGATGCAAAAGCACATTGGGAGTACTGCTTGGTTCTATAACTCTTACTTATTGGAAATGAGTTACCTTGGTATACTTCAGTTCCAGTATAAACTTGTTACTTGATAATTTTGCTGAAGCACCCACTTCTCGGCAGTGTTTCACTTTCTAAATCAAAAGCTTTAGGGAAAGCATCAAGAGTTTGTTTAGTCAAGAACATTTTGACAGTTCTGAAGAACACCTTATATTGTTAAAATGGCTTGGGCAATGTGCCTCGTAGACTTTCTGCAGACGGTACTGGATAACTGGGTAAAATGGCTTCTTAAAATATCCTGGTTCATCTAGATTATCAGTTGTATGTAGCTGTTTGGTTTTTTGTTTTTTTTTTTGAAGAACATGAAAATTGTATAGGCCCTCTGAAGTCATTAGAGAGGTAGGTTTCCTACCAAACTTGTAACTGGGGTGAGGGATGCAACTAGAGCTAGGAAGTGAAAGGAATTCTGTTTAAATGAGCAGCAGACTGGTGGTATAGACGAGAGCTGAGTATTAACTTTCTAATACATGACCTTGCTTAGATTTACTTGCAGAATTCCTTAACTCAAAGCTCAATTGAGTACAATAGCCTATAATTATCCTACCTTTTGTATTCTGATGACCAGTTGCTCCTTGGTGCTGCTGATAACATCAACTAGTGTCTGTTGATAAAGTTATTGAGCAATCTGCAGTAGTGAACAAATACTAGAGCATGCTGTGATGGCCCTGTGGGTATCTCAGGTATGGTGAAGGGTGAGCTAGTGAGACCTTGCATACCTTCTCTCTCTCTGGAGAAGAAATGTGTAGTAGTAGCAGAGAATGGGGTATGCCACTCAACAGCTTTCATCATTCAAGTGTAAAACTGGCATGCTTACCTTCTTAAGACTTGTAATTGGCCTTCTGTGCACAGGAGAAATGTGCTTTGGATAGGTAGGCATTGACTGATTATCTGGGCCTGTCTATTCAGGGAGTTCCTTTGTATGGTTTGAACTGTTGAGAATCCTTGGAGCTCAACAGTCTCTTGGCCTTCCAAGCAACTGCATCTCCAACTGCAAAGGACTGAGGGAAGAGCTATTTAGATGCTTCCTTTTTCCACTTTCATTTTCCAGTTGGAAGTGATATAAGCCCAAAAGCAGCTTTGTGAAGGGAGACACTTCCCTAAGATCACTATTTGCGTGGTCTTCAGAACAAAATACTTGTGTTTTCCACCAGAAAAACATGCGAACACTGTGTTACACTGCTGAATTAATTTTTATGGGAAACAGGAATTCTAATTTGTGAAACTGAATTTCAACTTCAGATTTAAACAATCTAGAATTAAGCCACCACCGCCAACAGAAACCTCTCTGAGGAAAGGGCAAGTTCTGAAATACAAATTGGGTTGACATTATAGTAAACTTACAAGTATTTTGAAACAAAAACTTTCCTAGTGAGAACCTTGATGCCTTGTATGATGCCAGAATCGTGGAGGTTTATTTCAAAAAATCCTGATGGAGCAGTTGCCACTTTCCAAAGTTCAAGTTTATCAAGTGTGGTTTGGTAGGAATTTTTCTCATCAAAGAGCTTGACCACAGTGAGTTTTGCCTTAGACAGAAAGGGTATTGTTCTCTGTGTTGTTTTTCAGCTGGAGTTACATGTTGTTTGAGAGATGGGCTAATAAAGGGTAGTCACTTACCTTTTTCCCCTGCTACCTTCTCCCTGTTCTCTGATCCTTCCCTTCAGAGCATGAGCTTCAGTTGTCTGAGTAAATGTTAATGAGTTTGTCCTTGGCTATGCAGTGAGAAGGGGTGTCTGCAGGTTTAGATAGTTCAGTCATAAACTGAACAATCTCATTATTATTATTATGTTGCTGTAATTACATATTCAGTGCTCTTGCTCTTCTCACAGCTTCCTTGGAATGAAAACCAAGGAACTTGTTTTAGTTCAGTACTGTGTGCACCATATTACTTGAGGGGTGCCCTACAAAAAGCCTGCTTTCCAAAGGTCGGCATTGAGGAAGTTCAGAGCTTTTGGCCTCTATATTGCTATATAATTAGAGCCCAAAAAAGTGCCTTTTCTTGGTACCATTTGGAAAATG